TCAGGCAAGACATTTGAGCTCAATTTTCCAATAAGATCTTATGTGCCAGAACATTTTCTGTTTGGCTTCTATTCTTATAGTTTCAAATGCCTATCAGTTATGAAATCTTGCTGGATTTAATTTAATATTATTAAAAGGCAGAACTTTACCTTCGGTCTTGCTTTTATACCACTCAGTTTTCACTCTCTAATCTCTCACAAAGTCATGCTTTTGAAAATCTGAAAACACTTGGGGAACACGCTGAGCCAATCAATATTCCCTCCAAATCACTGAAAGGAAAACAATATCATTTGGCCAGCATCTTGTCTCCAATTACCACCATTCTGAATTGATAAATACTTTCTCACCTCCCCACTCTACAAATGGGCCATAAAATAAATTGCTAACACCTCCATAATTGCAATATACGCGGTGTACATTTGGACCATTGGAAAGGGGATGGAGAGAGACAATGAGTAGTTGCAGTGACAGAAGCTTTCTGACTGCAAACACACTATTCCTTCTGCCTAAAAATGTGTTTTGCAAACTGTGATATTGAAATAATATGTTAGCATTTGGACAGCACTTTTCCCAATAGCTTTTGCTGTGATTTTTTTGGCTGAGGTTTGGGAAAGACACATTCTGAATTACGTCATAGGCACCAAGAGCAACTCTCTGCATTGTGGAAAATATTGTGGAAATAAAAACATGTTTATGTTTTAAGTTTTATGTGGCATGTGCTAAGCAGAGATAAATATACGGGAATAATATTATAAACTGCACTGCATTTATCAGTTTGGCAATCAGTTAACCAAATCAGTCAATCATTTATTTTGAGAAATGTTACAGTAACATCCGCTGGTTAGATAAAATAAAAATACTGGTAAATTTAAATATATGCAAATATATCTTACACAATTCTTAGCAGATCATCAATGCAATTTTGCAAGAAATAAAATTTAGCTCTGCACTTTGTTCCATCTCATGAAATCTGATGGTTTTCAGAGGGAGTCCTGAAGGAGTTTCCCAAGGACCTAATGGGCAGCTTGGCCAAGACCCTGGTCTCTTCCTAGAATAGAACACCATCAATGCACTTTGTGAGATGCCAAACAGTAGTCACTTCCCTCTTCCAGATCCTCCTTGATTGTTTAAGAGGCTTAGGGGGCTGATGTACCAGAGAGGGCTAGTGGAAGAAGAATCATCTTAAATCTGACCAGTTATTGCTAAAACCTCATGTCACGCAGGGATGATATAGGCAGCCATGTTTTCATCCTCTCTTATCGTCTCTGTTGAATACTGCCCAGTGGCCTTTATAAGGTAATCTGTGTCCTGTCTGAGGGAAGGAGGATTGCCAAAAACATCTGACAGGATACTACAAAGAATTCTTGTGGTACAGTATTTGTAGACAAAACTGCTCAAGTATGAACCAGGTCAGACTACAGACAATGCAATGCCAATGGAGCTAATTTGACACCATTTGATGAAGTTACCTGGGAACAATTTGAATCTGAAAATCCTTAGTTAATGGATAAGGTTCTCTGTAACTTCTCAGCTGAAATTTGCACCTTTTGGTTGGTTAAGCCTCTTGTGGGTGATGGGATGTTGGAACAAATTAAGTGAATACTGTTGATATACAGGATAGGGTTTTTGGAATTCCTTCATGAATTCTTTACATAGAATTCTATTCTTTGCATAGAATGGGCTAGAGGCCAGTTAAGTGCAGAAGGCAAGGTATGCAAAAGCATTATTAAATATTGTTAAAATAATAACTCCTTTCATACAGGAGGTTGAGTAGAACAAGAGAGAATAAAGCTTTTTTGGAGCACTGGAATGTTGCAGTGGTTCTGGAGCAGATAACAAAACTCTTTTTCCCTGTACTGTTTTCTTAATAACTAAATATAATACACAAAGGGAAATTTGCAGGTGAGGAGCACACTGGCCAATATAGTTGTGCCGCTAGATGACAAGAAAAAAAAAAAAGAAAAACAATTTTCAAACAAGATGCAGTGACCAAAAATAAACTGAATTTTGTGCATCTGCCATTATTACAGAAAATATACCTTAGTGTATTTAAATGTATTTAAGAGAGTTGAGAGATACATTACAGGAAAAAAGGTTCACGTTGCATACGCCAATAACAGCTGTCTTTCAGCATTTCTTCAAAGCTCACAGTCTTTTAATATACAATATACAATGATTTGATTTTCCCAATCTCCCTATCAACAGAGAAGGATTTTTTCATGCCAGGGTGGCATTTTCATAGAAAAATTCTTAGAATGGAATTTTCAAAGATGAGAATTAAAGCTTTCACAAGCATTAATGTATCATGACTTTGCCCATTCTATATTATAGTTTGCTGTATACTATACTTATTCATATACTTATCTGTGCATTTCTAGACAGAAGATTGCCACATGACATATAATTAATCACAGATGATTAGTTTTTTCATTCACAGGTCTGTTTATTAAATATATTTCTTTCAAGGACACATTGCTTTCATAAATCAGTTTAAATATATAAAACTTTAAAATACATCTAATGCAACAAACTGACACTGTAAACCATTAAATAAAACAGCAACTCAACACATTCCATGCAAGCACATTAAAAACCAAAGTCCAAGTGGAATAAAAAAAAATAGTGCTTTTTAAAAAGGCAGCAATTTTAAAAATGGTATCTGGGGAATGGAATTCCCCAAACCTATTATTTACAATTAAGTTCTCAAAATTCTATATGTTGGCAATAGGTTCAAAATAGAAGTGCAATAAAATCCACATACTTGTTTCTCTTTGCAACAATAATAAAGAATACAATAAACATGACTGTTACTAACTAAAGTACTGCTGTACATAGCAACATAGACCAATATCAAGGACAAACAGAGTATATTCTCCTGTATGAATGGTCTTTTTGGTTGTTGGGTTCACACACCTCTGTAAAGCCCTAAACTTAGATTAACAAAATAAAATAGCTGCATACATATAACATATTTTGTCTAAGGGAAACATATTTTAGCTTAACATGACGTGATTCCTACAACTTGCTAAAACAATAGCTAGATTCCTATGAATGCTAAATCATAAACCACACAGCATATTTTAGCCAATTATGTGAATTCAGCCTTTGAGTATATTTTAAAATGTCATACGGTACATTTTAAAAAAGAGGCTAGTAAATGGGGTAATTTTTGTGCACAAGGGACTGGACATATCCTTTTAATGAATACAAAAAGAGAAATGGAACTTGTTTCACAACCACATACATAATATAGAAAGGAACAAGGAGTCACGTGTCCTATGAAAACTTACATTGGAAGATAACAATAACTCTTAATAAATGCTAGATATTCCCAGACAATCCACAACCTGTTAGATCAACATTTCAAAGATATTTCCTGACATAAACAGAGAAACAGAATGACTAAGGGCAAAAAAACCCCCATCAGCTATGCCAACTAAATAATATTTCCATTATGTTTTCCCCTATCCATTTTACTCTTCCAGCTGTTATTCATTTTGTGATTATTCTACCTTTCATCCTTATTTGAGCATGTTCAGACTTTAATATTTTAAAAAACACTTACTTTTTGCAATTTATTTGGCAGTTGCCCATTTTGGCTACAATTCTATCAATTTTCAGGATTCAACACTCCACTGTTAGCCAAATAAATATAATTGTTCTTCCGAAGCCTCTTCTAATTTTACAGTACAACCACAATTTCACTCCCAAAATCTCATTTATCTATGGAACCGTGTCAAAAGATGTACACATACACCAATATCTTTCCCATTTAAATACACTCCAACACAAATTGTGTCATATTCCATATGAGTTTTGTGTCATATGCACTTTATGAATATATAAAGGAGCAAGCTGCCTGCTAGTGAACCTAGCAGCTTAGATGAAGAGATTATTGGCCTTGGAATAGACTTAGGAAGATATAACTCCACATTCTGCACAATATCCCTGACAGGCTCCAGATCTTTCTCATTATTTTGAATTAGTTCCTTCTTCTGACAAGAATAGTATGTGTTTACTTACATCTCAACTGGCATTAATTTAGAATTGTGTAACTCTGGGAGGATGATTAAGAACTGTTCTTTGGTCTGCAGAGTAAGCCTCCCCCAGTACCATGTTTCTCTGAAAGGAATTTTTTTAGGGAGAGTTAAATCATAGTTTGAAAATCAGGATTAATTGGAAAGTGTTTACAACTTTGGTTGTAAACGGTGGATAAGCAGAACTATGCTGGAGTGGAGTGTCTGTTTAGGTGTTAAAAGCACAAGTGAAGGAGAAAGCTAATCTGTTGTTGGAAATCAGTTGTATTTTCACAATCTTGTTTCACTTTGTTGAGCAACGTAGGTTGAGTAAAACTTTTTCAAATGTTGGCCTTTTGATTATTTCTGTGTCTTTTTTTGTTCCTTGCTTTCAGCCTATCTGTCTTTAACTATTTCTTTGAAGTTTATGGTATATCCTTTTTCTAGCCAATCCAGAGGCTGACCTGAGAGTTGGATCTTAGCTATGATTCCCATATGTCACTACCTTTGGCTAGAAATAGTGAAATCCAAGTCCAAGACATCTGGAGCACATCATACATTAGCATCATCAAAAATGACCATAATTTGGATTTGTGTCATAAAAAATAAAGAATTTTTTTCGGAAAGGCATGGCCAATATACCTTATTCGTGCCTAAAAGATAAACATTCCTTTGAGTCAAGCTTGATTACATGGGCATATCAATTTGGTTTTCTTGACAGCAATAAAGAAATGCATTGCTACTCTTTTCCGCAAGGTGTTTTTCAGATTTCCAAATCTAACCTACAATGTTGTTTTGTTTTTTTGTGTGGAATCTCATTCGTGTATTAATGAAGCCCAAACCTGACTTTTTTTTTTTTTTGCAACAGCAGCAGCGGTAGGAAGGGATCATCCAAAATCAGCTAGGTATTGTTTTGTGAAGTGTCAGGCAGATACCAATCAAATGGTTCTTTTGAGGATCCAGAAACAATGCTCAACCAATACATAAGGAGAAGTTTAAGCTTTATTGTTTAACTATAGCAGGTAAATTAAACAGAAACCCCAAAAAGCAACATACCAAGCTAGATACTCTTCCTTCAGCTGCTGGGAGCCCTGTTTCAAGCAATGGAGATAGTCCAAAGCCCTTGGTGCACAGCACCGGATGTTCAAGCCTATGCAGAGGCTCATTCTTAATGACCAATTTTCAGGGCTTTTATTAAAATTTGGCACCAAGACGAAGATTTCATGGCCTTGCTTCCCTGATCACAAGACTGCAAGACTTCAACTTGTCTAGGTAACTCTGAGATGCAACTGAAAGTCTGACAGTGCTCTTCCCGCAGCTGTGTGAAGATTCCCCAGTTTTTTTTTCAGCAAGAGAAACAAGCAAATTCAGAATTGGCAATAAACTTCTAGACTTTTTCTAATATGAAAGGGAAATCAAACTATGACACTAAACTAGAAATATAATGGTTTTCCAAAATGCCTCTTACAAGTATGTATTAACAACTGTTTGTGGCACCAAGATAGGATCTGCTTCACATGAACATCGTTTCCCATTGGCTTGTGAATTTTTTGAAAATTACTTTCTTAAAAATAAAGTCACAATTTTACAATATAGTAGAAACAAATGAAAAAATATATGTTTAGATAAATTAGTTTTACAATTATAGAAAAGAACAGTTAATATAATTTGGTTATTTAAATAATTGGTTATATTATTTATTTTCTTTTTTTAATAGTTCTTGGGTACAGTTAAATGAGCAAACATACTTAAGAAATGTAATATAAAATAGCTAAAAAGAATAAGTTAATAAACAGAAAACCTGATAATTTTTTTTTAAAAAACGGCTGCTTGGATGAAAAGAATAACCAGACCTTGTAAGTGCCATTAAAAGTATGTATAGCTGCAAAGCTAAAAGCTTAACAAAAGGTTAAGTAGTATTTTGTCTATCTTCAGTGATCCTACATATCTGTTATAAAATATTTTATTCCACTGAGAGAATTGAAATAATTTGATTGGAACTAATTTGGTTGTGGAGTCCTTGGTGCTCCCTGAATTTGGTTGTTTTCATGCAGAAGTTTCATTATCAGGCTAGGTCAGGAGTGGGATCCTACAAGTTTAATAACTGTTTTCTGACCGCACCCATGCGCCAGACGTGTGCTGTGTGCATGTGCACAGTTTGCAGAAAATTGAACTTCTGCGTTGCTGAGAGCAAGGAAACAGCTGAGGAGTGGCAATCCACTCTGCCGCCCCGATCAGCTGGGCTTTGGAAGCAGAAATATAGGTGAGTGTAATGCAGGGGTGGGCAGGCAGGCCCACTTCAAAGAAAGAGAGAACGGCTCAAAGTCGGAGCTAACGGTTTGCCCAAACCTGTCCAAACCGCTAGAATCCCACCACTGGGCTAGGTAATATTTTCAGTGTCTGGTATTAATCATTTTATTAATTTCTGCTTGTCTGTGTGTTGATTGCTGGCCAGGACATTTTCTGTTCTTTTTGTTTTCTTTCTAGCTTTTAATTACCTCTTTTGAATTATATGTAAATGTTATTCATCCCTATGTGCCTGCTGACTTCTCTAAGAACTAAATTCTATGAAATCCATGCGTTATGCCAATATGCATATATTATGCCATGTAGATTTCTCCAATTTAGCTTATCTAAATTTTAGATTATAATTACTGCAATACATGGCCATCCGCCCAGTGATTGTATTGTCTGAGGCTGAATGGAGTTCAAAAGAATTGGAAGATGCCACATACAGAAAGACTGATTAATCCACATTTTAGCTAATGGTCTATTTTATATAGAAGGATGTCCAGTGAAAATTATACTTAATTTGAAAAATTAATATTGGATTAAAACATCACATGAAATATTTTAACTATAGTATGAGCCTATATTAACTATATTTAATAAAAATTACATATATATCTTAATATATATGTAATATGGATTGGTTTCAGGACACATGCGTCATTGAAATAATTGAGATTTTAGCCTGGACTTTCTACATTGATTTCAATAGAATATGAATTTGACTGTTTTAATTGGACCCAAAGGATCCAATACAGTCAGTAGGCATATAAAATAAATGGACAATTTAATATAATTACTGAGAAAACAATCAGATATGTACTACTGCATAAACAACTACATCAGAACAATATCTATTTGGAATTCAGCAACATGTAAATATAATGCTATCATAAAATAGATTATACAACATATTAAAATTTGGTTGGTTTAACGTATTTCTAACCCTAACCCCAAAATCACATTTTGACTTGGTGCAAGATGGGAATCAGTCACATGCCCAATCAAATCCTCAATAGAACAATCTCAAATTTGGCAAGTTTTTACTAAATATAAAATTTGACACATCTGCAATATTGCACAGGTCCTTGACCACATTTTTCAGACCCAGGAAACATGATTATTCCCTGATGCTTTCTGATATTGCAATAGCCTATTTCCATTCATAGTTCTTTCCTCCTAATGTTCAAAAATGCAATGTTGACTACCAGAATTCTTTTAATTGCTGGTGATTTCATGGACACACAATTTTCTTGGCAGCATTTGAAACTGATTTGCCACAGCCACCTTCTGCCATTTTTTTAAAAACTTAGTCTGTAGCCTTCATCTAATCAGGTTTACCCCTGCTTAGATAAATTTAAATTAGTGAATTAAAAAAAGAACTCCACTTAACCTTAATTTCCCTACAATTTATTTACAGACACAAATGGACATGTGCTGGATGCCCAGATTCACAGTAAGGAAAACACTTGAGTGTTTGAAAAGAAAGTAACGATATGAAAGTTGATTCAAACTGTTGTGCGTCTGATTTTGTTGGGTAAAATGATATGTTGCCCCTTCCATTTGTCCTGAGGGTAGCATGAAATGGCCCGGGCTACCTGACAAAACTTTTGCACCAAGATCTTCCTAAGCAGCAAGTAAACCCAGGGGTCCAGGATCTGATTCAGTGAAGCCAAGCGGATGTGGGTTAAAGAGAAATTGCATTCTGGCTGCTGTTCTGTACTTTGGGTTTGGTTACAGGATTCTCTGCATTGATTCATAGGGTTGGGATTAAAAGTCACTTTCAACATTGTCACCTAAAAAAAAAGAAAGAAAGAGCAAAAAGAAATATGTTATTATTACTCAAGGCAATACTTTAAATCATTCTTTTATACAGTACAGGTAGTCCTTGACTTACGACCATAATTGTGACCAACATTTCTGTGGTACTAAGTGAAACATTTGTTAAGTAAATTTGCCCCATTTTATGACCTTTCTTGCCCACAATTGTTAAGTGAATCACTGCAGTTGGTAAGTGAATCTGATTTCTCCATTGACTTTTCTTATAAGAACATCACAAAAGGGGATCACGTGAACCCAGGACATGACAACTGACATAAATATGAGTCAGTTGCCAAGCAGCTGAATTTTGATCACATGACTGTGTGGATGCTGCAATGCTCGTAAGTGTGAAAAACGGTCATAGGTCATTTTTTTCAGTGCCGTTGTAACTTTGAATTATCACTAAGTAAACTATGTAAGTTGAGGACCACCTGTATAATAGTTAGTAATATTAAAGGAGAACAATATTCCTGAGTCTTGTGGGGAAGAGCTGCCCTAGTTGTTTGAATTAAAGAGTCATAGGAGAAACACAGAAAATACGCTTTCTTCACAAATTCTTCTTCAAGTTCATTTCTGGCTGCTCTGAATCCAGAACCAAGACCTCTGCATCACTCTTAAGATTTAGTGTGAACTTTGATACATAAAATCTGGAAGATCTCAAGAAAGCCACAAAGAAGCTACTCTGAGTCTTGTTTTTGTGGAACAAGAAAGGCATTTTGCGAGTTGAGGGGAGAGGTCTGCTTAGCTGTACCATCTTGTTTAACATACTGCTTTCAAGATGGGCAACCAGATAACTTGTATACCTTATACCAGGAGAATGTGATGGCACGCATCTTAGTTACCTTTGCCAGAAACAGATACTGAGAAACCAGAAATAATATATAGCTATTATGACTAACTAGCTATTATAATATTATCCTTCATACATTTGCCCAATCTTTTAAAACTGGTAACCATCATCATATGTTGTAACAATTCATTCTATATAGTATTAAGTAGGGTAAGGCATTATTATACTTGGGGGCAGTGATGAAATCTAAAATTTGTTACTACTGGTTCTGTGGGCGTGGCTTGGTAGTGGGGTAATGTGACTGGGTGGGCGTGGCCAATTTTTTTTTTAACTTTTAAAACCATTTTTTCTACAACCTCTTCAGTGAAGAGGTCATAAAAAATGCTTTCAAAAGGCTCTGAAGATCCCAGCTGAGTTGCCTGATCGGCAGAGACTTTTTTTCTTTTAAATGCCTCTGACGATCAGGCAACTCAGCTTGGATCGTCAGAGGCATTTAAAAAAAAAGTCTCTGCTGATCAGGCAACTCAGCTTGGATCGTCAGAGGCATTTAAAAGGAAAAAAGGGTTTGTTTTTCTTTAAAAAGCCTTTGAGGATCCCAGCTGAGCTGCGTGATCATCAGTGGCTTTTTTTTTTTTTTACTTTTAAAAGCATTTTTTTGGCAGAAGAGGTTGTAGAAAAAATGCTTTTAAAAGTAAAAAAAAAGCCTCTGATGATTGTGCGGCTCAGCTGGGCATGGGAGGGGAGGGGGCAGGGATTTTTGCTACCGGTTTTCCGAACCAACCGCCTCCATCGCTACCGGATCGGGTGATTGGTCCGAACCGGGAGCATTTCACCCCTGCTTGGGGGAGATCACCAGGCATTTCAGGGCAACAAACAATGTAGGGAAGTAAAAATATCTAGCAGAGAGAAATCTCTTCTGTATGGTGCCAAAAATTTGTAGAGATAGACTTGATTACAGAGGTGATGACTACACCATTGGAAGACTTGAAAGGACAAGTTAGGGGTAGATCATCTCGGAGAAAATATTTGTGGTTGCTACAAAGAACTTGATAGAACATGAATGCATAAAGTTTCCCGAAGGTGTGCTTGACTAGAAGGAAAATGTTTCCCCTTTACTCTGTTTTCAGTTACATCTTTTTCTGCTTTGCTAGAAGGTATCAGAAACTAAAATTGGGAAGGAGGAGATGGAATTCTCCTTATCCACTTTCTTAATTCTCCTTTTATTGGTAATTTTTCTGAACCACATATTCTCAAAGACTCTGTTCCTTCCTTATAGGACAGTTATTCCAGACCTTCAGTAACTTTTGGTTGCTTTTTCTAACACTTTCTCCAGTAGAATGGCAGAAAGAATAACTATAATTGTATTATTCAATTTATATAGCTGCCTATATTAAATATATGACTTTGAGCTTGTTAAAATACAATATACAAATACACACAAAAAATCCAGTTTTTAATATTGCATAAATTAGAAAAATCTTGCCAATAAAAATTATTTTTATTTTAACCCATCTAAATTCAGTCCAGTCATAAATCCAAAGACTTCAGGGATAATAGATTTTAAAAAGAAATTCATTATTTCCAATTACTACTTTTCTCTCAACTATATTTCTAACAAAAATATTTTGCAGGTTTTAAACCATTATGAAAACCAGCTGAATCAGTAAAGAAATCATTGTGGAAGAAATAAATACATTCACATTTAATCACTCTCGGGGGGTGGGGATTGCCTTTTCAGTTTGAATCATGAAATATCCTTTAATTTCTGGAAAATTATTAAATCTACTTTTAATGTCAAATTCCAGCTTGGTTAATGAGCCACATATCTGACAAACTGTATAATATCCTCAGGAAAATTAACATTCTATTCTAACTCATTAAAATCTGAAGACTGAATAGGATTATCCTATACCCTTAGAATCAGTCCATTTTCTTCATGTAATACCATGAAATTATAACAGTTAAATATAAGCTTGCAGTTTGATTCTATTTCATGCAGAGAAGGAATATATTCTGATAAAAATCTAAGTGGTATTTATTTTTCCTTGAATTATTTGGCATTCACTTTTTTTACCCTCAATCAGCACTTTCTGTAATTCTCCATTTCCTTCATAAACACTGAAAGCACAGCTGCCTTTTAAATTAATTCTACATGAAAGGGATAAGAGTAATTATAACCAGAGTTCAGACTATCAGATTTTAATGTTACATGATTTTTCCATTAAGAAATTTGTTACAGAATATTCTGAATGGGTATTTTTGTAACTAATGTTAATCCAATTGGTATATTCTGTTCAAATAAATTAATACAATATGATATTGTATTACATGTATCATACAATGAAATCAGAGGCTATATTTAATTCCCATCATGCAGAGATCACCTGACCCCCTGCCTTTCTTTTCCGCTTCCCTACAAATAAAAAACATTGTCATAATTTTGACCTTTTTTATTTTAAAGCATGAGCAAATTTTTGAAACCCATTTCTGTTATTAATTCCCCATCACTGTATATTGTACCTATGCACTAGCTGTATTTGTGTAACATCCTTAAGTTGGTTACACCTGGGGCATGATGTCATGCAATAGCCAGTCAACTGCAAGATAACACAAGAGCAGTTTTCATTAAAAACATGCTCAGGGCTGCTTTGGTGAAAGGATCCTCCCTTATTCAGCCATGTCATGCAAACACAGTCAAAGGTGTGGAACAGTTGCCCAGCCATGCCAAATCAGTCTTCTGAGAAAAAGTGGAGGATGTAAGGATATAAGGCAGCCAGGCTTTCCGTTACAAAATGCCCTGAAGTGCGATGGCCCTCAGGCATCAACAGAGATGCACCTCGCACTGATTGCAGGTATTCCTCCTGGAAATGCTTACAGCCAGCAGTTATTCCAAGTGAGAAAAAGAGTTTCTCCTGCCCAGCTTCTGAAAACATTTCATGTATTTACTTTCAGTTCAGTCAAACAATACCCCGAAAAACATTGCTTGGGAGGACAGTTTGCATAACTAATTTATACAATGAATCAAGAATCTGGTGGCCACTGTCCTAAATTCCAGTCCTCTGCTCTGGATATCAAATAGATTGAAATGTGTTTGAATATTAGTAGCTCAAGCTTTTGATTTGAGCTCTGAGCTTGGCAATTTGGTTGCAAATGTTTCATTACCATTTGAAGAGACATCGTCAGTGTGTTTTGAATTGTGCTTGTCTGTCAGAACACAGGTCTTTAACTATCTTTTTAAAGACCTGTGTTCTGACAGATGAGCACAATTCAAAATGCACTGACAATATTTCCTTGAATGGTGATACGTTTGCAACCAAATTGCTAAGATCGGAGCTCAAACCAACAGTCTAATCAAACATATTACTTGCATATGTTCTATTTTGCCCCCATCCTATTCTTACCTTTAGTTGCCTCGTGCACCCCTGGAGAGTTTGCTGGGGTTGGGTTAGTTCTCTGCTATTGTTTCTTCCTTTCTTTTTTTACAATAATGTTTTCTTATCATGGGATATCTTGTGGAGACTGACTTTGAGGGAACTGGATGATGCTGAATACAGGCTGATATAGCATGTGCTGTGTGGTAGAAGTGGGGGAGAAAGGAGATTGTAACCAGGGTGAGTGGGGATTGCATGTTTTTGTGTGCATTTGGGCTTGGAATGCTGCCATTTTTTCCTTTTTTAAAAAAACTGCCCTCCCCCCATTACGGTACTGTATATGCCTTGGTCTGTTTGACAAAAGGAAATGGATAAGTAGTTACCTAAAACTTTACCAGTAGTTTCCTGCAAGGATTTTGCAAAAGAATTCATACAGTTAGTGCCCAACTGTTTGTGTTCCGAATAAAGTGCTTATGTTTCAAGCAGTATCTATAGTATGGAGTCCCAGTTCAACTCTGAATTAAATATATTCTCTTCTATTAGCTAATTTATTTTTCATTAAAACATTTATGATTTTACCTGAAAGCACCTCCAAAGCAGGGGTGAAATGCTCCCGGTTCGGACCGAATCGCCCAATCCAGTAGCGATCGGGTGGGTGGTTCGGAGAACCGGTAGCAAAAATCCCTGCGTTCTCCCCTCCATGCCCAGCTGAGCCGCGCGATCATCAGAGGCTGTTTTTTTTTACTTTTAAAAGCATTTTTTCTACAACCTCTTGTAGCATTTAAAAAATGCTTTTAAAATTAAAAAAAAAAAG